AAGACATTAGTTAAAGAAAACCTCTAAAATTCTAACAAAATTAAGAAGAATTGCATACTCGGATTAATTGTCTCGAAATAAACCTGAAAAAAAATACAACCATTAAAATGGGCATGTTGAAGTTTGGTGATGCTACATGAAAAATTGTAACATAAAAACTTAAAAAATATCAATAAAAGTCAAAAGAAATACATACACACATTAGTTTTCTCAAAATATACTTGAAAAAGATAACCATTACAAAAATATGTTGAAATTTGTTGAGGCTACTTCATGGTTTGTAATACTTTCAAGATTCTATTATCAGACGATTAATCGAACCATTGTTGCCACGAAAACTCTAAAAGTGTTGTCAAAAACAAACTCTCCATTTCATTGTGAAAACTTAGGAAAATCATAGAAGATAAAAGTAAGAAAAAACAAAATTCTAAAATCCCAAAAAAAAAAAAAGAAAGAAACGCATACCTGAATTGGTCTTCTCGAAATAAACTTGAAAATAGATTTGGTGAAAAATAACAATTTATAAAATGAAAAACAAATCAAGTGATAGAGATGGAGAAAAATGAAATGAAAACAAATCAAGTGATGGAGATGGAAAAAAAAGAGATTGAATGATGAACAATTTATGAAGAAGAGTTAGGGAAAATGAAAAGATTGTGTTAAATGCAAACATAAATGATAATCAATTTTATAGAAATTAGAATGTGAAATTAAAAAAAAGATTAAAGGAGGATGAATGAAAAAAAAAATAAGTTTCCAACCCTTAGGAGAAGCCAAGTCATCAACCTTGGTTTATCCTTTAATATATATATAGATTGAGTACAAGAAATGCTAATAATTTATTGAGAAAGAAAAATCTTATTCATTTTTATCATAGATATATAATAGAGTACTTAAATTTACGTATTTCTTAGTAGGTTATTTGAAACCAAAAAAATAGAAACTGTGGTTGATAAATTTTTATAAGAAGTAAGAATTTTTTTTAATTCATAACAAGAAGTATGTGTTATTTTGATACAAAAAGAGAATTTGTGCGAATGAAGTAATTGTCAGGGTCAGTTAGATATCAATAATAAAGAAGATTATCAAGGTTTGCTATACAAGTAGACAAATGAGGATCAATACAAATATGAAAGAAAAGATGATCCATTAAGATGCAATAAGAATAAATAATGAATTGAAGATATAATATTCAAGCTCAACAAATGATTGTTTGAGCACTTAAATAGAATCTTGTGTTGTCGTGGAATCCCAATGAAAGATACATAAGTCAAATAAATGATGAAAATATTTAAATTCTATTTTCCTTTTTTTTGTTCAACTAAAATAAGATGTTAATATTAAAAGTTTATGATAAGAGACATTACTAAATACATCTAGTAGAAAAAATGTATTGATTAATCACAAAACCATGAAACATGTCATAAATTATAAGAACAATAGATTGATTGTCAAACAATAGTAAAACATTTTATGTAAAAGCAAAATAGATAACAATAGTCAACAAAAACAATTAGAACAACATAACCAAATAGCAACAGTTGATAGAAGCAGAAATTGATAAAAATATCTAACAAAAATATATAGCAATTGCGAACACATGATCTTAACGTTGAATTGTTGAAGCACGATAACAGTCAAGCATATAGAGATAACAATAGTCAATATCATTGGACCTTGTTGGAGATAAAAAACAAATTAGAGAGACAATAAACAGTAGCATATAATGAATTATCAAATAATTTTTTTTATTTTCTTCTCTAATGTAATTAATTGATATATTTTTGGGTTCTTATTATCTACTAAATTCTTTTTATCTCTTATTATATGCTACAATTTTTTGGGTTTTTTTAATTTATTAAATTATTTTAGACTACTATTGTATTTTAAGAGAAATATTTGGGACCCTTGATATTTTTGGGTCCTGGACGTGCGCCCGTGCCACCCTCCCCCGGGACGGCCCTGAGTGGTGGTGCTGGTAGTAAGCAGCAATTCTTGGTAGTGAATAGGAGCGGATGGATTATTAACACTTTAGACTAGAGATGGCCAAAAACCGGTCCCGAGCCGGTCCCAGTCGGTCCTCACCATTCTCATAACCGGCCATAACCGGTCCTGGCGTAACCGGTCTCGGTCCCGGTCCCGGTCCCGATCGAAAATGATAGGACCGGTATAGGTACTTTATAACCGGTTAT